TCCTCCTCCTCCTCCTCCTCCTCCTCCTCCTCCTCCTCCTCCTCCTCCTCCTTTATCTGGCTTATTCTTTTTTAATAAGGAATTCCTTTTAACTTTTTTCTTTGCATTTATTTATTTATTTATTTATTTATTAGATTTATATGCTGCCCATCTCCCCCATAGGCATTCCACCTATGAGATTCATCCCACCAGCTTTCAGTAGTGCCTGCTGAATTATATTCATTTTCCTGCATTAAAATTTCTAGTTCTTGTTTTTCTCCATGTTTGTGTATTTGTGCAGAGACATTGGGATCCTCGAGTCACAGAACGTGATCTATTCCTTCCTATATTTCTGTGCTCATTATTGGGAGCCACCACCTTCTTTACACCTTCTTAGTTGCGCTGCTTTCCAAGCTCTGCTCTCCCTCTCCCACCTCTCAGTCAGGATGGCACAGCACCCTCCCAACACATTTGTCCCATTTCTTGTGAGGTGCCCTCCATCCCTTACCAGCAGTCTCATCTTGGAAATGCCTCCATTATCCAAAGCGTTCCATTGGTTCCATCTGTGCAGCCCGTTTATTGTCTCCAGAACCCTCTCTCTGGCCATGTCCGCCTCCTTCTTTACTCCTCCTCCAGGGTAGTCCCCATGTTCCCGGCTCCTTCACTCGCTTGCCCAACACTTCCTAGCACCTTGTGGGATGTTTCAGCCTATGTCTGGCTAGGCCATTTCTTCCAGGATAGATCAGCCAGAAGGGGTATTTGCCAGTGGCTTAAGGAGCCTTGGCAGTCTTTCCATCATATCCCAGAGGTGTGTCCCAAGAAGGCCACACCCTTCTCAGACTATTACTTTTTATAGAGACAGATAGGTACCAATACATCAATTTGATATGCAGATGTTAAGAAATGAGTAGAGTAGAGAATTAGAGGTTCCTATATTGTCTAGACAATGGGAAAGTATTTTAATTTTTAACTTCTATAGCAAGAATGTCAATGGACCTCAAATTACAATTTATACAACAAAAAATAATATTTAGAACTTATGAGACTCCATTAAATTTATATAGAAAAGAATTGTCAAAAATAGCATTTTTGTTGGAGATGTAATAAGGATAATGCTTCTTTAAAACACATATTTCTACAGTGTCCTATAGTTACCAAGTTTTGGGAGAAAGCAGTGGACTATATAAATATGATTGTGCGACAAAAGCTAAAATTTTCAGAGGATAATATTCTTTTGAACTATATACCTAGTACATGGAACTTGACAATCGGATTGGATTCTTAAAATAGATAAAATGGATTCTTCATGCCATTAGGACTAAATGCAATGTATAAACAGCATGGCTATACCTGACACCCAGAGCAGAGTGCCTCCTTGCTAATATGATGTTGCATGCCTTACTTTTATTAGCATACATGTCATTAAACCATGATATGGGTTTGGTTGGTTTACATTGTCTGGTTGTCAGGTTCCATGTACTGGATAGATTTAATAAAATCAGTACAAATACGGAATTGATATTCCTTAAATGAATGGGTAACCAAATTTTCACCTACTGGCATCCGTTCTGATTTGGACCAGTTAATAGAGTATCCTGCTGTTTTCCTAAAGGCATCTATCATTGCATCAACGCTGGAACAGTAGTGTGAGGTTTAGAAATAAACCAGAGAATGTCATCTGCAGAGGAAACCAATCTGTGTTCAGCTCTCCCTGTGTCGTCTAATAGCACAAGCCAAGGGTTCCACGCAGAGATTAAAAAGCAAGGGTGAGAGTGGACATACTCGCCTAGTTCCTCTAAATAGTGGGAGAGTAGCAGAGAACATGCCATGAACCTTCACCTTGGATGTGGGCGACTCATGTAACATCTTAATCCATTTTATGAATTCCAAAGGAAATCTGAATCTGTTTAGCACGGCAAACATGTACTGTTTATATATTTTGACAAAGGCTTTTTCAGCATCTAATGATAAAATTACAGATTGATCTACCTAGGTTAGTTGTAGATTTAATAGCAAACTCCACAACTGACTCCCATATGAAAGGGCCAGGTTCTGCACTGTGATTTCACATTGTAATTTTTGTTATATTTTTCATCATTCTGATTTGCAATGGCCAAGGAGAAGAGCCATTTATTCAGTGTTTATATTTTTCTGTTTCTGGAAGCATAGTGTACAATGGTTATATTGATTTGTTATTGATGAGTTTGTTTTTACCCTGGCTGCAGTCTATATGTGCATTGTCATTTCTTATTTTTTATTTTTTATGCTGTTTTTTAAATATTGTTAGCCACCCAGAGTCATGAATTTGAGTTGGGCAGCCATATAAATTGAAATAATAAATAAAATAAATATTGGTCTAGATGGACTTGTGGTTAGTAGCTTTTATATTTCCATATAAATCCTCTGAGCTGAATCTGGAGTAGGAATCGTATAAATTCCAATTCCAACTTGTTGTTTTCAGCTTATCACAGAGAGTGAACCATTGTAGAGATGGGAGAAACTAAAATATGTTATTGCACCTGTATTTTCTAAGCTCACATTTTATTCTCTTATATAGCAATTTATAAAACCTGGAAACATATACCTGTAATGGCATAACAGAAATAAAAAAAATTAAACTTAAAACTGAATTTAAAACTATTAAGCCATAACCCATGGCTTACAAATAGTAATGGTTGAGTTCATACATAAGGTGAAGCTGGAAAAAACAAATCTTTTGATACAGTTTGGTATGGAAACCCATATAAAGTCTGGCTTTGCTCAATCTTATTCTTTATTTCCTATATTGGAAATAAAAGCAAGCCATATGAACTAATTGTATGTAAGAACTTCTGTCACTGATTTATCTGGCCTTGGAAACGTTCTTTCAGTCATTAATGTGAGAAGGATGTAAAGAGGATGTGTGAGAGGGATGTGGCAGCATAGCTGGAGTTTTGTCCCTTTTTCATAGAAACTCTAAATTCATTTGATTTCTGCTGTTTTAACAACTTACATTTAGAATGCAGCTGGACTTTATGACACCTGCATTTTGCCGACTGTCCTAGCTTTCAGTCTATCTGGGGACTTGATTCCCTTTTCAACTTCTGGTGTCCTTAAAGCTCAGGAATGATGTACTGGAGATATTCCTGATCCACATATGCTGATAAGTTAACAGAGGCCATATTTTGGGTCCCTGCCATTACCTTATAATCCTTTCCTTTAAGAAAGCGTCTTGTACTTTGCTTTTATAATGCTTGGTGTTTGTTTTTAATTCTGCTGAGTGCCTTTATATTACTTCTTTATATTCTTTATTTTCTCATTTTTACTTTTGTTGAAAGGCAGGTATAAATTGAATGAATAAATAAATAAAATTCTCTCTTTCAGGATTTCTAGATAACTTGAAAAAACTGCTTCTAGATGAAGATAGCACTGTGCGACAAAAAACTACAGAGGTCTTATATATAATGGCAACACATAGCATTGGCAGGTAGGTATTTCTTAAAAATGCTATTTAAAAGGTTGGGGGAAAAAGTGAAGCGATTCTACCCTACATTACAGTTTCCAGATTCTGGAAAGATAAATTTAATATGTTCCAAATTTTAGGACGAATTTTGTAGAACATGGAGTCATCCCAGCACTGGCACAGCTTTTGAACGATCCTGTTGATATCTGTCGGTGGAACATGCATTATGCACTGAAACTAGTAGCAGAAACACCTACAGGTCAGGAATTAAACTTCAGATTAATTATTATACAAAGACTTAATCACTTCAATCTTTGATCTCAGCTGTCTTTCAAATCATATTTTATAAGTGTGCATGTGTGCGTGAGATTGACCCTAGTATTTACGCTGGTGCCCATTTCTGCAAGTCACATGCAAAATCATACAGCATTACGAGCAAGCATTTGGACCTTCCCAGTTCCTATCTCTTTAGGGTAGGAGGAACAGATTGGCACTGCAGCTTAGAAACCCTGCTGGATCTGCCTCCTCCGAAGCATGTAGTTTGACTTTCCTGCTTGAGGCATTTGGAGCTAATTATATGGCTGTCGTGCTTCAGTGCTTATGAGACTGAATGTGTAAAGATGCAAAGAAAAGAACACAGGCTATCAGATGGAAGCAGGCGTGAAGGAATAGCAACAACCCTCATCCCTGCTGAAAATTCAGTTTTGTTAAGTGGCCTAGTTGCATGTTCTGTGGAACTGGGGTCTGGGGACACAAATCACAATAGCCCCTAACGTGGCTTCTTTGATTTTGTTAGTGTGTTGTGTGAATCAGCTAATCTTGGTTTATCCTGTGGTTAAACAAAACCTGTGGTTGGCCTGAGGCATGAACCTAATCACTAAATATGAAATATATTAGGAAGCAAATGGGTGCTTATGATGTTTACACTTCTGGCCATTCTAAAAGTGTAAAGGTTTCGGTACCGATTTTTCCTAGGCCTTGGACAACAGATCAGGCAGACATGATCAGATTGGTAACCACTCTTTTCCACTGCTGCTAATTCTTGTTGATCATATAAGTTAAGCCATTTCTGGGTTGAACGCTAGAACTAGTGATTTTTCCCTAGATGTTCTACAGCAGGCTTTTCCAGCCAGTACCTCCTGATGTGTTGAAACTGCAATTCCTAGCATTCCTAGCCAGAAGGGCCATATTGGCTGTGAATTCTGACAGTTGCCATTCCAGCATATCTGGAGACCAACAGAGTCCTGTGCTATGATTTCTACTAACTGCAACCACCAAGTAGTATGTTTATTCTTCATTTCAACTTCTTTTCAGGTACACAGTAGCTTGGCTCTGGCTTAACACCCCTATTTGTTCATTTCTATAGCAGGATATATAGCAGTGATCTTAATTTTAGATGTTTGCAATTTAATGGATCTAGGAGAGGATCTACAGTCATTGTTTGGATTCAAACAACATGGTAAACTAAGCTAAAATATGGTTGGATACTCTATAGCTCACTGAGTTATGGGAACCTTGCCTCTGTCTTAGCAAGCTACTTGAATCAGGCCATAATACTAAGCTACCATATGGTTTGTTTGGATATAGCATGTTGTATACCCACTCCTCGCTTAGCGACTACCTCAGTTAGCGACCATTTGCAAATACAGATAGTCCTCAGCATACGATAGCAATGGGGCTGGAATCGCTGTTGCTAAGAGATGTGCTCATAAAGTACAACATCACATTACCACGCCACTTAACAACAGCAATTCCAACAGTCCCAGTTGCCATCACTAAGCAAAGACCTGATGTGAGCACGACTTCCAACTTTCTGCTGGCTTCCCCACTGATTTTGGTTGTGGGATGCTGGCAGGAGACGTCAGAAATCACAGTCATGTGACCACGGGTTGCTGCAACATAATTGTGAGCTGGGTGCCAAACACCCAGATCACAATCATGTGACCACAGGGATGCTGCAACAATCAGAACTCTGAGGACCGGTCGTAAGTAGTACTCATTCAGTGCTGTCATAATTTTGAATGGGTCGCTGAACAAATGGTTGTAAGTCAAGGACTATCTGTACGATGGTAATAAAAAATTCATTTTCCGATCAATGCATTCATTTATGACTAAATTTTGTGTGCTTGAAAACAACGCACGCCAGAGTGAGCGTAACACTGGCGTAGCTGTATGAGAGAATTTTAGCTGAATGAGATGGCAGCAACCAATGATCTTTGCAGCAGCTGTCTCTCTCAGTCACGTTCACTTAGTGACCATTTGCTTAACAACCTGGTTGTTGGAATGGAACTTGGTCACTACATGAGGAGTGGGTGTATAAGGAATTGAGGTTTTTTTATTAATGTTTTTGTGAACCCAGCCATTCAGTGCAATTTTTAATCAACTGAGACTAAGACAAGGGATATTGATTTCTACAGATGCAGCTAGATCTCAGAAGGGAATGGTGAATATTGGACGTAAAGATACGTTGCTGATTACTTGTTTGTGCACTGTTTGCCCATATTTTGGGAATGGGTGTTTGTGGGAGAGAAAGGCTGTTATGTTGCAATCCAGTTGGTTTCCAGGATGGAGGTTCAAAGCACAGATTACTGTAAGTTCTAAGTGCTTAACCTGGCCCTGGGTTCTGACCCAGATGTTACAAGAATGCTGTTACTTGGGTGAAGGTGGGCAGGGCAAGGCAAGGAGGGCTTCTGCTGTGAGCAGAGAGCAGACAAGGCCGCATTGTCCCGCTCCTCAAAGGCTCAATAAGCCTGCATCAACATCCCAAGCTTAAATTCATCACGTAAGAGTCCTTCCTTTTCTTGAGGCTGACGGCAAAATGATCCAGTTCTCGGTGCTCTCATTTAAGTGTGTTCATCCATCCATCACATGTTTTTGTGGGGTAAATTTTGGAATGAATGCAGTGGACTTCAGAATAAAAGCTATTGTTTGCCATTATGTGAGTGAAAATTCAGCTTCACAATTTTGTCTGTACTGAAGGGTTATTTTACAGGCCTACAGTATGAAGTACTGAATTTGTCTATTAGGGTTATACCTAAGGTATTAGGGTATAACTATTAGGGTAAATGTTTCCAAAAAAACCCAGACTGTGACATCTGCGCTCCGTTGCATTTGCTTACCATTCAGTTAGTTGAATCGTTGTTGTTCTTACTTGTTCTTCCTCTTTTCCTTTTTCCTCTATTATTTATTTAGATCTATATGCTTTTTGCATCTATTACTATGTAAAGTGTTTTATATACTAATAATACTATATATGTCCATCATGGCTATTTAAGAAACACATTTAATATATCAGTAAGTATAATTGTCTGTTGACCAAGTCAGAGTATCACAGATTGTTCTTCGAAATGTCTTCTTAAAGAACAATTCCCTGATAGCTCATTCATCCAGGAGGCCATCTGGGCCACTGTTACCAGTTCCAATGAAAACTAACCCAACCCTATTACCTGCTCTGGGAACTCTAATCCCTTCCCAGGTTACCAGATCAGGAATTATGTACAAATACTCTCTGAAGAGGACTGTCTTGAAGACAGGTACTCTTTGTGAGGGGCCAGCCCATGCATTGTGTTCTGGCCTGGAACTAATTTGGTAGGAATGCACAATACCCCGATCTGAATACCTCTGTGTGGGAAGCCTCTGTGCCGGGCAATGCATGTTGGATTTCTGATTTGGCTAGATACCTTATTGGTCTGTTTTTGCCTCCACTGGTTTTTCCATCAACGGGATATGAAAAATCTTCTCTCACTGCTCCTGCCAGCCAGTACTCTCCCCAGTTTCTCCCACAGGTCAGCCACCATTCTGTTGTCCCTAAGCATGTTTCAGCCTTAAAAAGGGGTTTCCTCTTGTTGGGTTTATTTAGTCTAGACTTTTGATACTCCCAGAGTTTAGGGCTTCCCCAAGCCTGCTGATGCCTCCCATTGCACTTGGGATTGATACAGCTTTGACTACATATAGCCTGCATCAATTCTCTCCATGAAAGTGCCCCAAATTTGTGGGGTTCTACAGCATCCCCTCCTTCCCCCAAGAGATACTCAGCATTCCTGTCTTCACTGGTTAACTCCCACCATCTGCTACTGTAGGCTCATCCATTTGCCAGGCAACCACTGGGAAGTTGCACTCCTATGCTCTCAGGAGGACCAAGAGAGCAAGGGAAAGACTAATCTGCCCCCCAAATTGGTCAGAATCATTTTCAGGAAAGTGCTTGACTGCTGTTATAAGAACTCAAGGGTAGCCTTGCTGGATCTGACTAAAAGTTTCATGTACAACCTGCTGCTCTTACTGGAGGCCTAAAGTGCAGCCTGCTTTATTCCAGACCACATAAAAATTCCAGTACATTGTGGATGCTCTTAAAAAACTGGCTGCCATAGGAGAGAAGCCCTATTCACAAAGTGGCTGCTATGGTGGACATGGCTACTCAGCAAAATATCTATGGAATTTTCCCTACCTCCTCAGCTGGTTTTTACCTTTTCTAATGTAGGCATGGTTCCAAAGAAAATCCTCGGTGTCATTTTAATTGTTTAAATGGTTATGGAGGCTATGTGTAGGTATTCTTGCAAAGACATCCTTGTAAAGATGATGCTCACGGTTGGTGCTTTGCTTTGCTTCTTGCTTTTAAAATAACACAAATTAAAAAAAAAAAAAGAATCAGATGGAGCATTGAACAGAAGGGTTTATGGGTGTTGGTGACCTTTGCTGCTTTATTTGCAGAGTGATTAATCAATTCTAAAATCCCATCTATATTTTTCACTAGTTCAGGGTGATGGATTGCAAAAAGTTCTTGAAGGTTTTAGCATTTTTTCAATAATACCTTTTATGACTAGAGAGTAAAATTACAGATCTGTCCCAGCTGCTAGAGCAGTTGCTATTTTCTGGCTTAGTTTCTTTCTGGGCAACAGTACCATTGCTGATTACGTTGCATTTTTCATGCTGTTGTTTGCGAAGCCAAATCCTATTTCCTTGCTTATTTAGTGCACTGAGATTAGAGCAGCCTAATCTGTTCAAGAAACTGTACAATGAACTTAATTATTTTTAACTCTAGAAGATTTTTAAAAAGCTACTACCACCATCTCACACCTATCTGAATTGTGAATTACAACACCATAATGCACAAAATAATAGCTGGAGAAAAAAAGGTAATTTACTTGACAGATGTCCATACCCCAGTATAAATCTAAACACAAATGGTTAGCTTGAGTTCTGCTACGTTTAGCATTCTTGTAATATTTTCAGAGCACAGGCTCTGGTGTTAATTCTGCAATCATTGTAAAAAGTAATGAAGGTGGAAAGGCAAATATATGGTTAACATCTTTATTCCAGTTTTGCAGAGCTAACCTAGAATTTGCTGCAACTTGTAGAACAGGTTTAACCCATTATATATGATCAACAACTCTCTGTCATAAAAACTTCATTCCAAAATGTACTCTGAAACATATCCCACGAGTTTCAGGCAGACCACATTTCCAAGCAAAGCAGCTTGGAAATTAGCTTTGTTTTTCTCTCCTTCCAGCCACTTTGCAGTTAGCACCAACCCACACGTTGCCACACAAGGGGACAGATCAGAAGGGGAATATCTTCCCTCTCCAAATCTGTACTGTGACCTGCAAGTTCAGATACCAGCCCCACTAAAGTTACACATCATAGAATCTGATTTTAAATTTTTTTTCCCAATTTGATTCGTACAGTATTTATTTAAAGCATTTATATGGCCACCTGACTGAAACAGTGTGACTCTGGGCAGCATACAACAAAAACAAACAAGGAAAAAAGAAATCAAAGCCATACACCATTGAAAATAACCCAAATGTGCAAAGTGGCAAATTGACAAAACAAACAGCCACCAGGGGACTCCACTCATCTAATCCCAAACACCTGGGGAATGTACTTGGTGACTGGTTTCTAAAGTGACTGTTCTTTCCTCAGAATTCCCAAGATGCACGGCCCGTTCTTTGAATGATAATTCTGGCACGCAGGGCTGGCAAGCGGTGCCGCCTTCTGCCAGGGCTACATCCTGGGAACGAGCTTGCCCCCACAGCAGGGCTGATCCCCTGCAACTGCTTCAGCTCCTTCTGAGCAGAGCATCCCATGCTGCTCTCCTACTGGCTTTGTCCTATGTGGAATAACCATGAAACTCAGCCGGGCGGAATCAGGAAGCTTAAAAGCAACAGGGAGCACACCACAGACCAGTTAGGACCATTCAGAGTATTTATTTTCTTAAAGTGGACAGCCTGTAACATTATTCATTGTTTCTGCTAAATTTTTCTTAAAGCCCTTGGCTGTGAATTCCCACTAATGTTCATACAACTGGGAAACAGAGGGAAGAGAAAAGAGGCAAGTGTGTGAGAGAAAGAAAGGATGAGTGCATGTATGTGCTTTACAATTCTTGAATACATATTTACACATTTAGCTTACACTGGAATTGGAAAGAAGGCTTTTTGCAAGGGGAGAAGGGGAGAATGAGTTGCGTGACCGCTGGCCACATGCCCCAGGTGAGATTTTCCAGTGAAGACACAACAGCTTCTCTGGCAAACTTAACTATGCATTTGCCAGAGAAAGAGGCCATTCAGCATTATTTTAACACAATGACAGAGAACTGGAAAATGCATCACTTCCATTTCTTTAATTCCACTAAGTTTTAAAAATTTAAATATCAAGACATTTAAATATTGTTCATATCACTCATCTGTTCACCTAATAATTACAGCACATTTTAAAAATAAACACCAAAAAAGACTTAAAAGGCTCTATTGTACAGTTTCATTGGCTCCTGTATTTGGAAAGGCTGTTGCAAATGTTGCCATACTTCTCAGAATTTTCTTGGAGCAAAATAATAAGTCTATCCATTGGCACACACAGAATCCAGACACAAAACAATAATTTAAAAAGAATCCATATACCTCTTATATCTGTACTAAAAAAAAAAAAATCAACCACTCATTAAAGTTACAGAGATTGTGTGAAAGGACACAATTATTTGGCAAAAAAGGATTGAAAAGAAAAACGTTCAATGTATAAAATTCCTCACTGGTAGAACAATGACCATGACTTAGCCTGGTCTTTAGTTTAGTAATTCTACTCATTTCTTACTTCTTGCTGCACAATTTGAAAATCTGAATGATTAAGGTGAGAACTCCCAGAACCATTCTACCACATCAGGCCCTTCAACAGGCAGAATATTTTGCGATACACCATGACATAAAGACAAGGCATGTACCTAGTATTTGCTTAGCATGTTCTGCAAGAAATGTGACTGGGTATATAAGATCTATGTGTGTGTGTGAGATCCACAGGCTAAGTCCCAGGAAGTAGGCAAGAAACATGGTTCTCTGGCCTCTGCTTTAGAAAGGGTGTCACAACACATCCTGCTTTCCCATATGCCAGCTCTGCATTCTTCCCAACAGAAAACTGGTTTCTAGGACAGTAAAGACAATAATCTGTCTCATCACAGATAGAACAGGATAGTTCTACCACTGCAGGAAACGAAATGACACAGAATGAGCCTATGAGGATGGGATGGTGAAAATTTTTCAGTACAGTTCAAAACCACACCATTTGCAGGGAGGTGTGCACACACCAAGACATTTCTTTTTGCGAAAACGTGTGTAGGCAGCCGAAGGGATCTGTGAACATACTTCAGGCTTCTCCCTTCCATAACTGGATCTTCCAAGTGTGCCCTGTTTTTTTCCACTGTGAATGGAGGGATTTGCCTATTTTGCATCACCACGCAAAGCCAGACTCATTTCCTCAGATGATCCTTAGCAAAGACCAATATATTTGAGGTTGTTCTGAATGATGACATCTGTCACCGCATCAAACACAAATTGGATATTACTGGTATCAGTAGCACAAGTGAAATGTGAATAAATCTCCTTGGTCTCCTTGTTGCGATTCAAGTCCTCAAACTGGCGCTGGATATAGACAGCTGCCTCTTCATAAGTATTTTGGCCCTTGTATTCAGGAAAACAGACTGTTAGCGGGATTCGGCGAATTTTTTCTGCCAGAAGATCCTTCTTATTCAGGAAAAGGATGAGGGAGGTGTTGATAAACCAGTTGTTGTTGCAAATGGAGTCAAAAAGGCGAAGGCTCTCTGCCATTCGACTCTGTGAAAAAGGATGTAAGTGTCAGCTAGAACATTAGGCACCCAATACATGCTATGTCCTTTTATTGTCAGCATTGTTAGGGTTAGAAGAAATCAAAGGGTTAGGGTTAGGGTAAATAAAGGGAGGAGTAAATCTAGTTTAAGCCAATACCATTCACTCTATCCCCCTCTATAAACAATTCTTGCTTTCAGCATTCCCATACAAGGCTTATTTAAACTTCTAATCTTTTCCTTTTCAAGGTTCTCACAAACTCCATCCAACCCAACCTTCTCAGTCTTCCCCTTCCTCTCAACCCACGTACTCTCCATTCGTATGCTTGTTTTGCAATTCAGTCCTCATTCATTTTTATATGATGAAACAATTTCAAAATACTTCTTTCAGACTGGTCATTCACATCTGAATTCAGTCCATCTTCATATATCCCCCATTCATTTTGACCCTCTCTCCTCTTGTTTAACCACACACCCTTAAGTATCCCACATCGAATATATTTTTGTTTCTCCTGACATACCCAACTCTTGCTTTCATATATGGTAAACAGACATTTTTGCTTCTTTTGTAATCACTCATTCCTCACAATAGACCATATATTGCACTACTGTTTTACCAGTATTTGCATGTCTTAAAAATGTAGTTCAGTTTATATGGCTGCCTACCTGACATAGAACCTTGGGCAGCAAACAACAAATTAAAATTTGGAATAAAAACATCAACAAAAAATCAAAAAGCTTCACGTTTGGGTCAGCACATACCTCCACCTCCACAACCCCCTGAAAAGCAGGCTGTTTCAATTACCTGGCCCAATGCCTGAGGAAAAATCCAAGTTCTGAAGGCCTTATGGAAGGCCATTGAAGTTTGGGCCATCCAAATCTTGGGGGGTATACTGTCCCCCAGGGCAAACACCATGACAGAGAAGCCATGTTTCCTGAGTTCCATCAAACAACCCTGTTTAATCAACAGGACCGAGCATGCCCCACAGATAACCTGCCTCCGTGCCATTCAGGACTTCATAGGTGACAACCAGCACCTTGAATTGCACCTGGTAGCTGATTGGGAGCTGATCCAGCTCATGAAGTAATGGGGTAACATGAGCATACCAAGGCACACCTACAATTACCTGCACTGCCACATTTTGGACCAGCTGGAATTTCCATGTTTTCAAGGGCAGCCCCATAATTGGATTATCACAATGAACTACTTATGGGGCTGCCCTTGAAGACATGGAAATTGCAGCTGGTAACCAAGGCATGAGTGACTGTGAGCAGGGCCTCCTAGTCCAGGAATGGCATATTTGGCACAGAAGATATAGCTGTGTGAAGACCCTCCTAGTATAGCTGCTACATGTTCTTCCAGCAGAAGCCAAGAATCTGGGAGGACCCATAAGTTGCGGATCACTTCCATCTGGGGCACTACAATCCCATTCAGAAGCAATTATAGAAAATACTCAGATCTAGGAGTCCCTAAAATCCATAACCACTCAGTCATGCTAGAGTTGAGCCTAAGCCTGTTTCTCTCCATCCCCACCCCTGCAGCCTCTGGATACTAAGAAAGAACTTGGATGGCATCACTTGGTCAACCAGGAGTTGAGAAATGCAGCTGAGAAACATCAGCATAATGATGATAACTGACTCTATGCCACTGGATGACTTCATTGAGGGGTTTTATGTCAATATTAAACAGGAGTGGAAAGAGGTAGAGCTCTGTGGGGCCCTCAACCCCTTGAGCCAGTCCAGAAGGATACCATGATTGAGCTGCTCAGAGTCACCCTCTGGGGGAGATGGGCAGCATATTAATTTAATACATACATACATACATACATACATACATACATACATACATACATGATGGCTGGACGGATGGATGGTATCAAAAGCCACTGAGAGATGAAGGTGAGCCACAACTAGTAATGTCTTTGGAACTATTTCTCCAGCAGTAATGTCTTCCCAACAGGAAACTTTTCACTGAACACATTCAGAGCTCTGAATTAATCTTTTCCTTCTTTAATTGCTAAATAAGATTAGTAACATTAGTAAAATTGTTTTTCACCTGAAAATTCAGTATTTCTTTTATTCAGAGATACCAGTTTAGATGTGCATCTTCAACAGGTGGTTAAGAGACCTTTTTGTTGAGTTTCAATCTTACCTACAATGGATCACAACAAGCACCACACAAACAACCAAATAAATATAAAAGAAAAAAGAAAAGTTGATCAAAAGTAGATCCTAAAATTATGATCCAGGTCTCAAAAGGATTATTCTAGGAAAAGAGGATAGACTGTAACCAGAAGTATGTAACAACGAAACCTGTTCTCATTTGCCATTCAAACCGACCACTTCTGAACATTTATGCAATAAAGGAGATGCAATGATATTGAAAGGATTAGTTTAATTCAGTCTTAGAAGTAAAGGCTAGAATGAAGGCCATGTAAAGCTTTATGGATTTTCATCTGAATGGTCGCAGGAATGGCCATTTTGGACAACTGCATGGCCAGAAGAGCTTTTCAGCCAAGGACGCTTTTATCCTCTTGGCTCAACTGTATCTAGCCAAGAGATGCTGCTGGTGACTGTATTCAGGGCCTGCCACATCCCAAAGAACTATTGGTCCTTGAGATGGGATTCAGTCAAATCCTCATGATTTCCACATGGCTACCACCCTTTTATCTATACAAGGCTGCTTTCCATCCAGAAGGATTGCTGGCATCCATCTGTAATACAGATCTACATGGAGAGGGAGGGAGGGAGGAAATTGGAACCATCCTCGGTACACCACTGTGTCATTTTTCTCCCTGGAATTCCAAACCTGTTTCTAATCTGCATTCTAGCCTGCTCTGCTCAAGTCCCATCAGAAGTTTAGGTGCTGCCAAATGCAATACTTCTCTTCCCCAACCTGACCTCCTCCAAAAGGGTTAATTCAAAATAGAACAGAATAATAAAATGGCTAAAATGTATTAGGAACTATACAGAAGCTCTGCCCACAACCTTAAACTAAGAAGAATGGGATGGGGAGAGAATGGAGAAACAACCCATTGAAACCATTAATTCTTCTTTGTGTCACCTGCAGATTTGGTTAATATTCCTTCTTCCACTTCATCCATGTCATTAATAAAATACTGCAACGTTGCCCTCAATACCTCTTTCCAGTTTGATGAGAAACCACTTAATTGTCATACCGTCTAACCCACACGTAACTAAAATGCTAATCAGCCACAGGGTACTTTGCTGAAGACAAGATACATTATGTCTACAGCATTTCCACAATCTATTAAGAAAATTACCTGATCAAAACATGAGATGAGATGACGAGATTTGATTTTGATAAATCCATGCTGAATTCGGGTAGTTACCATGTTGCTTTTAAGTTACCTAAAAATGGATCTCTTTATGATAATTAAAAAATCCTTGTTTTGTTTCTAGTATACACTTTGCATTACTGTAGTTGCTAAGAAATTCTATCAGCATTTTCTCTTTTTAATTTTATTATGGCTCAATATTCTAATTTGGATATGGCAAGGACAGGATTACCCTAAATAGAATGAGTAACCCAAACTCAAAAACGTTTCCAGCTTCTGCTGTTTCATATCCTTGCTCTTTCTGGAAAATCAAGAATGCTCTTCCCAAGATGAGATCTGCCCCATGTTTAATTTAAAGTAATTCTTGGGAAGCTCCCAAGGAGAAGGCAGCCCTGCTTGGGGAGGGAATGTGGGTGATTTTGCCCCAACCCACGATGGCCTCGTCTCCCACGTAAAGCGCCTTTCTCTCTCTCTTAGCAGGCCTTGCAGTCTTCACAGAGTATTAGCACCTACAGAAAAGGAACTGTTTCTGATTCAACTTGATATTACTGTGAATTTTAATTTTTTCTCACATGTATCAGAAAAAAACAGTTGTGAAAACTTGAATATATTTAGCATCCCCAATTTGAAATTCCTTATACAGCAGTTTGCTGCAGCTTGAAAGTTCATGGGGTGAGGCAGAGGGATATCTAATCTCCCAAACTCACAGGAAATTCTGCCATTGTTTTTCTTCTAACTCAACATCTTTGCTCAACAAGCTTGTTTGTAGCTGGACCTAGGCTGGGATGTCTTAATTTGGATTCCTGCACTGAGCAGCAGGCGTGATGGCCAAGTCTGGGCTCTCTAGTTTAATAAAGGTAGCATACCTTGCAGTGCTTTATCTGGGCAAAATTTAAGAGGGAGAGATCTGTGCAAGCCTGGTACAACAGCAAGCAGTTAATCAATTAAAACTGGCCACAAACACCCACACAGACCTACCATAACACTGCTGTTCCAGAAGTCTTGCAGGTGAGCCATCAAGTGAGAGCAAGTTCTTTGTTCTGTTTAAATTTAGCAGTAAAGAAAGAAAGCTCAAGAGGCATGAAACAGAATATTAAAAATGTCCAGTGTGTTTGAGCAAATTTCCACTATTTTCATAGAGAATACTTATTGCTTCTCAGAAAGAAAGGGATTAAAAATACAGCACATATGTTCTGAAATGAACGAAGTACTTTGTCAAACATTTTATTTCATTTAATCACATGATCTTATCACTCCTTTATCCCTTATTTTTCCCTAGTTATTTGTTCCTCCTTCCTTTTAAACTCAGCACACCAAGAAGGAAAAAAAAACATTTGGGATAATACCATTTTCCCTAATATCTGTCAATCCCGCTTTATAAGCCAGTCCATGAAATCGACTCCATAGGAAGACTAGCGTGGCCTTTATTGAGAGTGGCTCTAATAATAGAATTGTGCAAGCCTGATTCTGCTGCAGTTCCCCATCTCTTTCTTTCACCCCAGGGAATCAGGGAAGTATCTGCCTGACCCACTTCCAACTGTTATCTTGTTTCTCAGGGTTTAAAAAAATGTTTCAGCCCCCTTTGCCTCAGGAATTCAAGTCATCTTCTTTACTCTATACAATATCCTCATCAATTTCCCCATCTTTAATGAAGTATAGTAACCCTATGTCAGAAGGAACTCCACAAATATGCCCCACTCTTGCTCCAGAA